GCTTCAGTTCCCTCAGCTTGAGAAATGCTGAGGGTGTTCTTCCCTTTTAGGATATTGATGCTTATGCATCCTATTTCATTTTTGTCAATTTCCAATTTTCCTATATTCATGATGATTAATGGACGTTTATAGTTGTTTCCCTTCATTTTTGAGTTGTGTCCTATCAGCAGATGAAGATCCTAAGGACTCTATTCCATTCATGTCATATGGTCTACTTTGAGGAGGCAGCTCTTCCCTAGTAACTTTCTGAGTGCCTTCCAACCTGAGAGGGCTCATTTTCCAACACTATATCTGACAATATTCTGGTGCCCCTCTATCATGTTTCAATACTCAATAATCTAGTGCTGACACTGTTCCACTGCTACTCTTAAGGTTTTCAGTGACTAGATATTCAGAAGGAGTCCATCTTTCCTTCTTCCTGGTCTGTCTTCGTCTGGAAGCTCAGCTGGAACCTGTCCACCATGGGTAACCTTGGTGGTATTTAAAATAGCTGTGGCATAGCTTCCAGAATCACAGCAAGACACAAGCCACCACAGTATGACAAACTGACAGATGAGATGTGGTTCAAGAATGTAAAACTTACCAGGAGCCCTGGTGGGAGAGTGATTAAGTCCTTAGCTGCTCACCAAAATGACATTAGTTTGCACCCACCAACCATGCCATGGGAGAAAGTTGTGACAGTTTGCTTCTAAGATTTTAGTCTTGGAAACCTTGGGGGCAGTTCTACTCTATCCTATATGACTGCCGTAATTCAGAACTGACTTGACAACAGTGGGTTTATTATTTTACAGGGCTTCAGGAGCCTTGGTATTGTAGTGGGTTATAAGTTGGGCTGCTAATTGAAAGGTCAGCATTTCAAATCCACCAGTTGCTCCGAGGCAGAAAGATGTGGTTTTCTATTCCTGTAAAGGTTTAGAGCTACAGAAACCCTACACAGAGTCACTATATGTTACAACCAACTCAAGGGCACACACCAACCCCCATAACTGAATGTACCACAAGGTAGAATGTAAAACTGAATGAAATATGGCTGTTCTTGCTTTGTGCCCCTACTTTAAATCTTTTTATTAAACAAGGAAATTCATTTCTATTTTAAAAAAACATTATTTGTGTTTTTGGTGATGGTTTACACAGAAGTTTAGGTTCTTATTGGATACTAACAATATAAAGTTTTCACTGACAGTCTTCACAATGTATGAACAGTCTTATTACCCATTCTTGTTGTTCTATTGCTATTAATCTAATTTCCCTAACTCTTACATTCTCATCTTTGCTTTAAAGTATTTGTTGACCAAATAATTAATTTTAAAAATAAGTACAGTACTTAGGGATGATGTTATTTTGTAAGCCAGTTTGCAATTTGGCTAAATGGTGACCTTAGGGGTTAGTATTGGTTCAGGGTTTGAGCAGTATTTCAGATCAACAGTCTCAGTTCATTGGGTGTGTTTTTTGTTTTTGTTTTTTTTTTAAAAAAGGCATGTTAGAATAGGAGGAAAAAAATGTACAACAGAGCCTATGAGGATTAATCTATTATGGCCCAGCTTAAAACAGTCAGTAGTTAAACAAAAAATACACAACAAAAACAACAGTGATGTCTGGTTACCACTTCTGATCTCACAGTAGATGAGGCTGTGGTTCAGAGAGACTATTCTACTAGTCTGTAGACTAGTTTCTTTTTTGAGTCTTTGGTTTCCTTCTTTCTCTTTTGCTCTGGACGAGTAGAGAATAATAACTATCTTATACGGCCACTCACAAGCTTTTAACATCCCAGACGCTACTCACAAAACTAGAACATACAAAATAGCTTTATAAACTGTATGTCAATTGATCAAGATGTTTTATGAGACTATGGTCCTAATCCTTCCTTCTAACCCAGAAATCCAATTCCACAAGGTGTTTGATATGTCTTAAGTGTCTGTAACTATGTCTTCTATGTGTTTTACGCATGTATATGGAAATGTGTACATACAGTCAATAAATACAAATTGCCTGTTTAAATACTAAAGAAAAAAATTGTCATTAATCATACCTTTAATGCCACAAGAAGAGTCACAGTCTCCACCGAATAGTAACCTCTGTCTACATAGTCACCCATGAATAGATAGTTTGTATCTGGTGATTTTCCACCAATTCT